ATCAGAAAACAAAAGGGTATCACCGATACATGTGATAATAAAACAAAGTTAATAAAAGAAACAGTTAAAAACTATACACAATCCTAACTGGATAATCACGTCACACCACATCGGACCATTGGAAATTAAAAAAAACTGAAGTTTGTATAAGGCAGAAAGCGTGAAAATTACAAAAAATTCTGACACCGAAGTCGAAAGAAACAAAAATGAAGATTAAAAACATTAAAATATTACTAATTAAGCGGCATATATTGATTAGGATGTTTCAGAACTAGGTATGACCTGTTTTGATTTCATCAATCAGGAAGCAGGCAACTGAAGCAAAACTGTCTTTGTGAGAACTACACGAAACATCAGAGAGACTGGGACAAAAGAATGCCAACATAATATACTAAATTTAAAAAATGAGACCAGCGAATAAAAACAGTAAGGGCACAATTACTACTTGAATTCAGAACAAAGTTAATAATGCGCTTTCGAATGTAAGTTAGTGAAGCTTGGTCATTTTATAGACGCGAAAATAAATAACAAGATATTAAAAGCATACAAAACTGCTATTTCACAGACAACAGCATTTTGATTTCTTCGACGACTTCGATGCAGGATTGGGTGTCTTCGCATTAATTTGACGAACAAGATCGTGAAATATCTGAAAAATAAAACATTCGAAATTACTATAAACTCTAATGAATTTAATTTTAAGGAACTCCATGGACTGAGTAGTTAAGAACTCAAGAGCGAACTGAGATTACAAGTAAAATAACAAATGAAGTAAATTAACGAATAATCATGTTAGGGTCTTAACAGCACTGTGGATGACCACGTTAGTCAGTCAGTCAGTAACAACGTAGAACTTCGTACATACATACATCACTTAGAGTTGCCATACCACATTAGCACAATTGTCGATTCAAATCCCATAGTGGTAGATGTAGTAAAAGTACAAGCAGTAATCGGAAAAATTAGGGTTTGAAGATGTTAGTCAAGGAAATAAATATGGAAAAAAAGGGACATGATGAATTCAGAAGATTAGAATTTGGGTGAACACAAATAGTGGACGCTCCTCAGCTATTGCAAACGATTTTGAGCCATTTTATTCAAGATCTCTAACCATCGGTTGCCATCGTCCCGCGGATCCCAACCAGGTAGTCTACAACTACCAACATGGCTCAGTCCACTCGTCAGTGACCTCATGGATTGGTGCCGTGTTTTGATCTGGTCGCTCCTAGCTTACATCCAACCTACTTGTACACCATTCGTGGCTTCCCATAACGTCCGCACACTAATGCAGACAGGATAACATATAAGTCTGACTGTCTTTGGAAAGTCTTAACATGCATTCGTGTCGTCTATACGAGGCCCGTATTCTAGACATTAATGGAGTACTGCAAATTTGCTCTCCATCTGCTGCTTAAAGAAGCTTGTTTCACGTGTGATTGTCCAGGAACCGCAAAACATTTTTGCCCGACGTTGATGGAGTTGAATGAACTGGCACTGCCGAGGTGCCCAAACCGAAGTGGGTGGTTTGGTTAGGGGGTCACACCCCGAGCCTTTGACCCAAAGGTCTAACCCATAAGACAGTGGAGAAACGTAAAGAGACGCAGTTCCACTCTAGCCAGTAACCAACATTAGGTTCATACGTCACTAGTTCCTTCAAGATACTGCAGGCCACGTTCACCATTTGTTTTGAATCAGTGTTTTCCAACTCTTCTAGGTAGATCTTCCGTATCCAACAGCCCGGTTAAAGCGCCGGACATCCGCTTTTCGTCCTCTCAATTTCGTAAGCAACACCCGGTCGCGAGAAGGCAGTGAGGACTTCCCTGGCAATGGTTGTATGCACGTGGCCATGTGAGAGCATTTCGAGGAAGAGCTGACTCTCCCCACTCTCGGCCGTACCAGGGCATTTGAGGGTTTTATCCTGTTACTTTTATTCACCTTGTTCAATGTTGTTGCAAACAGATGATTTCCGAATAGACTGATTTACTGTAACACCGAAGAGCCTTAAACTGGATTGTCCGAGTCTTCAATTAACACCCTGCAATCTAGCACGACAACCCATAGATCAGTGCTAAATTAATGTGTATGGGACCATTTCAGGCGGCCAGAACAATAATTTGATTGAATCTTACTTATGAAGAAACATGTAGCATTTCCCACGCCAAGGATTTAACTAAGCTATTGGATTAATGGTAATAACAAATACAAATAAACTAGTCAACGAATGTAACCATATATTCGTAATTGGTGCCAAACCACATGATAGTCATTACGCAAGTCCATGTAAGGGATTTATTACCAAGTGTCCCACAAAATCGAAATAAATGTGGAAAATAAAACTCAATACCCTAATTTGTCACACGTAATTGTCAATCAAAACTGTAGATATTTTTCGTTTGTTCCACCTTTTCCCTAAAAAATTCAGTCATTTCTTAATCAGTTGTTTTACGAAAATTTTATAACATATATTGTATATAATGTAAGTTTATTTCCCAAAAATGATTGAGATCGCTGAAAGCGTATATTAATGTAAAATCAGAAAACAAAAGGGTATCACCGATACATGTGATAATAAAACAAAGTTAATAAAAGAAACAGTTAAAAACTATACACAATCCTAACTGGATAATCACGTCACACCACATCGGACCATTGGAAATTAAAAAAAACTGAAGTTTGTATAAGGCAGAAAGCGTGAAAATTACAAAAAATTCTGACACCGAAGTCGAAAGAAACAAAAATGAAGATTAAAAACATTAAAATATTACTAATTAAGCGGCATATATTGATTAGGATGTTTCAGAACTAGGTATGACCTGTTTTGATTTCATCAATCAGGAAGCAGGCAACTGAAGCAAAACTGTCTTTGTGAGAACTACACGAAACATCAGAGAGACTGGGACAAAAGAATGCCAACATAATATACTAAATTTAAAAAATGAGACCAGCGAATAAAAACAGTAAGGGCACAATTACTACTTGAATTCAGAACAAAGTTAATAATGCGCTTTCGAATGTAAGTTAGTGAAGCTTGGTCATTTTATAGACGCGAAAATAAATAACAAGATATTAAAAGCATACAAAACTGCTATTTCACAGACAACAGCATTTTGATTTCTTCGACGACTTCGATGCAGGATTGGGTGTCTTCGCATTAATTTGACGAACAAGATCGTGAAATATCTGAAAAATAAAACATTCGAAATTACTATAAACTCTAATGAATTTAATTTTAAGGAACTCCATGGACTGAGTAGTTAAGAACTCAAGAGCGAACTGAGATTACAAGTAAAATAACAAATGAAGTAAATTAACGAATAATCATGTTAGGGTCTTAACAGCACTGTGGATGACCACGTTAGTCAGTCAGTCAGTAACAACGTAGAACTTCGTACATACATACATCACTTAGAGTTGCCATACCACATTAGCACAATTGTCGATTCAAATCCCATAGTGGTAGATGTAGTAAAAGTACAAGCAGTAATCGGAAAAATTAGGGTTTGAAGATGTTAGTCAAGGAAATAAATATGGAAAAAAAGGGACATGATGAATTCAGAAGATTAGAATTTGGGTGAACACAAATAGTGGACGCTCCTCAGCTATTGCAAACGATTTTGAGCCATTTTATTCAAGATCTCTAACCATCGGTTGCCATCGTCCCGCGGATCCCAACCAGGTAGTCTACAACTACCAACATGGCTCAGTCCACTCGTCAGTGACCTCATGGATTGGTGCCGTGTTTTGATCTGGTCGCTCCTAGCTTACATCCAACCTACTTGTACACCATTCGTGGCTTCCCATAACGTCCGCACACTAATGCAGACAGGATAACATATAAGTCTGACTGTCTTTGGAAAGTCTTAACATGCATTCGTGTCGTCTATACGAGGCCCGTATTCTAGACATTAATGGAGTACTGCAAATTTGCTCTCTATCTGCTGCTTAAAGAAGCTTGTTTCACGTGTGATTGTCCAGGAACCGCAAAACATTTTTGCCCGACGTTGATGGAGTTGAATGAACTGGCACTGCCGAGGTGCCCAAACCGAAGTGGGTGGTTTGGTTAGGGGGTCACACCCCGAGCCTTTGACCCAAAGGTCTAACCCATAAGACAGTGGAGAAACGTAAAGAGACGCAGTTCCACTCTAGCCAGTAACCAACATTAGGTTCATACGTCACTAGTTCCTTCAAGATACTGCAGGCCACGTTCACCATTTGTTTTGAATCAGTGTTTTCCAACTCTTCTAGGTAGATCTTCCGTATCCAACAGCCCGGTTAAAGCGCCGGACATCCGCTTTTCGTCCTCTCAATTTCGTAAGCAACACCCGGTCGCGAGAAGGCAGTGAGGACTTCCCTGGCAATGGTTGTATGCACGTGGCCATGTGAGAGCATTTCGAGGAAGAGCTGACTCTCCCCACTCTCGGCCGTACCAGGGCATTTGAGGGTTTTATCCTGTTACTTTTATTCACCTTGTTCAATGTTGTTGCAAACAGATGATTTCCGAATAGACTGATTTACTGTAACACCGAAGAGCCTTAAACTGGATTGTCCGAGTCTTCAATTAACACCCTGCAATCTAGCACGACAACCCATAGATCAGTGCTAAATTAATGTGTATGGGACCATTTCAGGCGGCCAGAACAATAATTTGATTGAATCTTACTTATGAAGAAACATGTAGCATTTCCCACGCCAAGGATTTAACTAAGCTATTGGATTAATGGTAATAACAAATACAAATAAACTAGTCAACGAATGTAACCATATATTCGTAATTGGTGCCAAACCACATGATAGTCATTACGCAAGTCCATGTAAGGGATTTATTACCAAGTGTCCCACAAAATCGAAATAAATGTGGAAAATAAAACTCAATACCCTAATTTGTCACACGTAATTGTCAATCAAAACTGTAGATATTTTTCGTTTGTTCCACCTTTTCCCTAAAAAATTCAGTCATTTCTTAATCAGTTGTTTTACGAAAATTTTATAACATATATTGTATATAATGTAAGTTTATTTCCCAAAAATGATTGAGATCGCTGAAAGCGTATATTAATGTAAAATCAGAAAACAAAAGGGTATCACCGATACATGTGATAATAAAACAAAGTTAATAAAAGAAACAGTTAAAAACTATACACAATCCTAACTGGATAATCACGTCACACCACATCGGACCATTGGAAATTAAAAAAAACTGAAGTTTGTATAAGGCAGAAAGCGTGAAAATTACAAAAAATTCTGACACCGAAGTCGAAAGAAACAAAAATGAAGATTAAAAACATTAAAATATTACTAATTAAGCGGCATATATTGATTAGGATGTTTCAGAACTAGGTATGACCTGTTTTGATTTCATCAATCAGGAAGCAGGCAACTGAAGCAAAACTGTCTTTGTGAGAACTACACGAAACATCAGAGAGACTGGGACAAAAGAATGCCAACATAATATACTAAATTTAAAAAATGAGACCAGCGAATAAAAACAGTAAGGGCACAATTACTACTTGAATTCAGAACAAAGTTAATAATGCGCTTTCGAATGTAAGTTAGTGAAGCTTGGTCATTTTATAGACGCGAAAATAAATAACAAGATATTAAAAGCATACAAAACTGCTATTTCACAGACAACAGCATTTTGATTTCTTCGACGACTTCGATGCAGGATTGGGTGTCTTCGCATTAATTTGACGAACAAGATCGTGAAATATCTGAAAAATAAAACATTCGAAATTACTATAAACTCTAATGAATTTAATTTTAAGGAACTCCATGGACTGAGTAGTTAAGAACTCAAGAGCGAACTGAGATTACAAGTAAAATAACAAATGAAGTAAATTAACGAATAATCATGTTAGGGTCTTAACAGCACTGTGGATGACCACGTTAGTCAGTCAGTCAGTAACAACGTAGAACTTCGTACATACATACATCACTTAGAGTTGCCATACCACATTAGCACAATTGTCGATTCAAATCCCATAGTGGTAGATGTAGTAAAAGTACAAGCAGTAATCGGAAAAATTAGGGTTTGAAGATGTTAGTCAAGGAAATAAATATGGAAAAAAAGGGACATGATGAATTCAGAAGATTAGAATTTGGGTGAACACAAATAGTGGACGCTCCTCAGCTATTGCAAACGATTTTGAGCCATTTTATTCAAGATCTCTAACCATCGGTTGCCATCGTCCCGCGGATCCCAACCAGGTAGTCTACAACTACCAACATGGCTCAGTCCACTCGTCAGTGACCTCATGGATTGGTGCCGTGTTTTGATCTGGTCGCTCCTAGCTTACATCCAACCTACTTGTACACCATTCGTGGCTTCCCATAACGTCCGCACACTAATGCAGACAGGATAACATATAAGTCTGACTGTCTTTGGAAAGTCTTAACATGCATTCGTGTCGTCTATACGAGGCCCGTATTCTAGACATTAATGGAGTACTGCAAATTTGCTCTCCATCTGCTGCTTAAAGAAGCTTGTTTCACGTGTGATTGTCCAGGAACCGCAAAACATTTTTGCCCGACGTTGATGGAGTTGAATGAACTGGCACTGCCGAGGTGCCCAAACCGAAGTGGGTGGTTTGGTTAGGGGGTCACACCCCGAGCCTTTGACCCAAAGGTCTAACCCATAAGACAGTGGAGAAACGTAAAGAGACGCAGTTCCACTCTAGCCAGTAACCAACATTAGGTTCATACGTCACTAGTTCCTTCAAGATACTGCAGGCCACGTTCACCATTTGTTTTGAATCAGTGTTTTCCAACTCTTCTAGGTAGATCTTCCGTATCCAACAGCCCGGTTAAAGCGCCGGACATCCGCTTTTCGTCCTCTCAATTTCGTAAGCAACACCCGGTCGCGAGAAGGCAGTGAGGACTTCCCTGGCAATGGTTGTATGCACGTGGCCATGTGAGAGCATTTCGAGGAAGAGCTGACTCTCCCCACTCTCGGCCGTACCAGGGCATTTGAGGGTTTTATCCTGTTACTTTTATTCACCTTGTTCAATGTTGTTGCAAACAGATGATTTCCGAATAGACTGATTTACTGTAACACCGAAGAGCCTTAAACTGGATTGTCCGAGTCTTCAATTAACACCCTGCAATCTAGCACGACAACCCATAGATCAGTGCTAAATTAATGTGTATGGGACCATTTCAGGCGGCCAGAACAATAATTTGATTGAATCTTACTTATGAAGAAACATGTAGCATTTCCCACGCCAAGGATTTAACTAAGCTATTGGATTAATGGTAATAACAAATACAAATAAACTAGTCAACGAATGTAACCATATATTCGTAATTGGTGCCAAACCACATGATAGTCATTACGCAAGTCCATGTAAGGGATTTATTACCAAGTGTCCCACAAAATCGAAATAAATGTGGAAAATAAAACTCAATACCCTAATTTGTCACACGTAATTGTCAATCAAAACTGTAGATATTTTTCGTTTGTTCCACCTTTTCCCTAAAAAATTCAGTCATTTCTTAATCAGTTGTTTTACGAAAATTTTATAACATATATTGTATATAATGTAAGTTTATTTCCCAAAAATGATTGAGATCGCTGAAAGCGTATATTAATGTAAAATCAGAAAACAAAAGGGTATCACCGATACATGTGATAATAAAACAAAGTTAATAAAAGAAACAGTTAAAAACTATACACAATCCTAACTGGATAATCACGTCACACCACATCGGACCATTGGAAATTAAAAAAAACTGAAGTTTGTATAAGGCAGAAAGCGTGAAAATTACAAAAAATTCTGACACCGAAGTCGAAAGAAACAAAAATGAAGATTAAAAACATTAAAATATTACTAATTAAGCGGCATATATTGATTAGGATGTTTCAGAACTAGGTATGACCTGTTTTGATTTCATCAATCAGGAAGCAGGCAACTGAAGCAAAACTGTCTTTGTGAGAACTACACGAAACATCAGAGAGACTGGGACAAAAGAATGCCAACATAATATACTAAATTTAAAAAATGAGACCAGCGAATAAAAACAGTAAGGGCACAATTACTACTTGAATTCAGAACAAAGTTAATAATGCGCTTTCGAATGTAAGTTAGTGAAGCTTGGTCATTTTATAGACGCGAAAATAAATAACAAGATATTAAAAGCATACAAAACTGCTATTTCACAGACAACAGCATTTTGATTTCTTCGACGACTTCGATGCAGGATTGGGTGTCTTCGCATTAATTTGACGAACAAGATCGTGAAATATCTGAAAAATAAAACATTCGAAATTACTATAAACTCTAATGAATTTAATTTTAAGGAACTCCATGGACTGAGTAGTTAAGAACTCAAGAGCGAACTGAGATTACAAGTAAAATAACAAATGAAGTAAATTAACGAATAATCATGTTAGGGTCTTAACAGCACTGTGGATGACCACGTTAGTCAGTCAGTCAGTAACAACGTAGAACTTCGTACATACATACATCACTTAGAGTTGCCATACCACATTAGCACAATTGTCGATTCAAATCCCATAGTGGTAAATGTAGTAAAAGTACAAGCAGTAATCGGAAAAATTAGGGTTTGAAGATGTTAGTCAAGGAAATAAATATGGAAAAAAAGGGACATGATGAATTCAGAAGATTAGAATTTGGGTGAACACAAATAGTGGACGCTCCTCAGCTATTGCAAACGATTTTGAGCCATTTTATTCAAGATCTCTAACCATCGGTTGCCATCGTCCCGCGGATCCCAACCAGGTAGTCTACAACTACCAACATGGCTCAGTCCACTCGTCAGTGACCTCATGGATTGGTGCCGTGTTTTGATCTGGTCGCTCCTAGCTTACATCCAACCTACTTGTACACCATTCGTGGCTTCCCATAACGTCCGCACACTAATGCAGACAGGATAACATATAAGTCTGACTGTCTTTGGAAAGTCTTAACATGCATTCGTGTCGTCTATACGAGGCCCGTATTCTAGACATTAATGGAGTACTGCAAATTTGCTCTCCATCTGCTGCTTAAAGAAGCTTGTTTCACGTGTGATTGTCCAGGAACCGCAAAACATTTTTGCCCGACGTTGATGGAGTTGAATGAACTGGCACTGCCGAGGTGCCCAAACCGAAGTGGGTGGTTTGGTTAGGGGGTCACACCCCGAGCCTTTGACCCAAAGGTCTAACCCATAAGACAGTGGAGAAACGTAAAGAGACGCAGTTCCACTCTAGCCAGTAACCAACATTAGGTTCATACGTCACTAGTTCCTTCAAGATACTGCAGGCCACGTTCACCATTTGTTTTGAATCAGTGTTTTCCAACTCTTCTAGGTAGATCTTCCGTATCCAACAGCCCGGTTAAAGCGCCGGACATCCGCTTTTCGTCCTCTCAATTTCGTAAGCAACACCCGGTCGCGAGAAGGCAGTGAGGACTTCCCTGGCAATGGTTGCATGCACGTGGCCATGTGAGAACAAATTCTCCGCTCCCTTTGCTATACCAGAGCATTTACCGGTAACCAGTGACAAATGGGCATGATTGTATGTGATTTAAGACTTCGTCGTGGTATTTAGGTAGTTCTCAGGAAATACTGTTGTTAGTAGTGAGGATTTATTGACTACCACTTTGCTTCAGAGAAAGAGTAGCAGAAGAACGAAATAAAGTAGTACCTCACTAGAAAGTCCTCATTATTGTGGGACTGAAATAATGACCTGGAAAGGTTCCAGCATCACTTTAACCTAGTGAGGTGTGATTAGCTGACGGAGAGACTTAGTTCAACAATACAGTCAGTCAGCTACAACGTAGGACCAGGCACATATATGCATCCGTCCAAGTTGCCATACCTCATTAACACAACAAAATGAACCCGGATTAATAAAAATAGTTAATTCAGAGGGGGTAATATATGAAAGAAAGATTGCAACAAGGATATAGTACAGGAAGAAAGAATTAGTTCATAGAAAGATATGAAGCGATTTTAATCTCTTAGTTTAAGGGAAGACAGGGAGTGTATACACTGACGCCATTGTGATCGATTCTGAGCCATGTCACAAAGGGTCTCCAATCATTGGTTACGACAGTCACGCGGACCCCAACTAAGTAGTCTGCATCTACCAACATGGCTAAGACTAGAAGTTAGTGACTTCAAGCACTGATGCCACGTTTTGGTTTGGCCGCCCCTAACTTTCTTCTAACTATCCCGAACACGGTTAGCATTGCACGTCGTGGTAATCGGTGTTCAGGCATACGTAACACGTGGCCCAACCATCTCAGTCGATGAAGATTCATAACCTCATCAACTGATTTACCATCATTTCCTAATACCCTACGTCTAACCTCACTATTACTTACCCGGTGATCCCAGCAGACGCCAGCAATATTTCTAAGGCATCTGTGGTCAAATACTAGTAACTTACGAGTGTCTTCTACTCTTGATGACCATGTTTCGCTGCCGTAAAGTAAAACAGAACGGACTGCCGCGCAGTATACTCGTTCTTTTATTGATAGACGGATATCTCGCCTTCGCCACAGGTGACGTAAGTTGGCAAAAGTCAAACGAGCTTTTCGAATCCGTGCTGAGATTTCATCAGACACCAACCCATTAGGGCTGATCAGACTTCCAAGATAAGTGAAGTTGTCAACGCGTTCGACTACTTCACTCCCTATCCTTAGTTCAGTTGTTAACGCAGACCAGTCCTGAAGCAACAACTTGCATTTCGAGGGAGAGAAGTGCATTCCAAACATTCTGGCATTGTTGCTCAGTGCTACCAGAAGACTGCATTTTGTTAGCGTCTTCACCAAACAGGACTATATCATCTGCGTATTCTAAGTCGATAAGTGGACCTCATGGAAGGAGATCAATACCCGAGAATTCAGTCGATGAGAATGTTATTTCCATCAATAGGTCGATGATGAAGTTCAACAACAATTGAGATAGTGGACAGCCTTGACGGACACCACTTGAGGTTGCAAAATCAAATGACAACTTTCCATAAGCTCTGACTCGACTGGTAGTGTTCGAATAAAGAGCCTTCATAAGGTTTATGTACTTCTGAGGTATGCCTTTCAATGACAGACACTGCCACAGAATCTCGCGGTCTACCGAGTCGAATGCCGATTTTAAGTCAAGAAAGACCACCATTGTCGGACGCCGATAAGTATGCCTATGTTCTAGAACCTGACGAATGGTGAATATGTGGTCGATGCAGCCACGATCAGGTCTGAAGTCAGCTTGATTCTCTCGTGTTAAGTTAAACTAATCCCTCTATGGTTGTCACAGGATGATTTTGACCCTTTCTTATATATTGGGACAATAAGTGATTGTGACCAGATAGATGGGATAACGTCTAACTCCCAGATCTTAGCTAAAATATTAGTCAACCTAGTCGCTAAAATTGGACCACCATACTTGAAGACTTCTGGAGCTAATCCATCTGAACCAGCTGCCCTTCCTCGTTTCAGATTAACTATAGCCTTTTGAACTTCTGCTAGAGTTGGGGGACCTACTTCAATGTTCCATTCACACTGTCTGGGAATGGAGGGTAGTTGTAGAGTAGCTGAACTGTTCTCTGAAATGTTCCACCCATCGTTCTAAACGTCTGGACTGAGAGCAGATGAGGGTGTCGTTTTTTTCCGAAATAGTCTGACTTACACTTGACTTATTAATTCCAGTTTCTTTTATTAGTCTGTAGAGCTGTCTTGTGTTCCCTATAGCCGCCGCCATTTTCATCTCTCTTGCTTTCGTTGCCCACCACTGCTCACGGTCGTTTCTTACTTTTTCTCAACCTAGATCTGATTTGTTGTCGCTCTTCATTGTGTTCAGAGCCTGATGGGATGAGTTTACGAGAATCCATCAACAATATAGACATGGCGTTAGAAGTGATAACCCCCCTCAGCTAGGTTGTAGGCTACTACACCTGAAAACCGATGTTAGAACGGGTAAACATATACTTCTAGACGTTCTTGACTCGTAATAACCATTCAAAAGTCGTTGATAAAGCTTACCCTACTAACCGTCGCAAAACTAAGTGCTTATACTTAGAAACTTTATACTCAGAAGTGCATGTCAGACAGCGAAAGTGTGAAGTATGTTCAGTGGTAATCATGACTGATTTGTGTTAAAGATATTTATCTCATTTGAAAACCAGAGTGGGACCTCATACTAACTTACAAAACACGTTAGTCTAAATTAGTATACATTTTTGCGGCTTTCACTACAGATGTTTAATGTTCGACTTGGAATAAATCCCGAATGAGTGGATAATCATAACTTTAAAATGCTTGAGTCTGATTGAAATACTTTAAATCCCCTTACTATTTCATTGCTAAACATCGGACAATCGAAAAACCTACGACCAAATTCGGACTGACATTAGATAGAGTCCCAATAATAATACTAGAGAGCTCGCAACATTAAAACTGAATTCCCAATTTGAGTGGAGTGCATGTGAGTGTATAATGACACTAAATTTGATTGGATATGTACGAAACAACGTAAAATACTCACCTCATTTACATTAGATTTAGTCTTGGCACTAGTCTCTGCGAAATGACACTTCCACTCATTTGCCAAGTTTCTTCCCTGTTCGGTACCCACACTTCTTTCATCTTCCAAATCACATTTATTTCCAACCAGAACTAGTGGAAACTCGTCAACGTCTTTGACACGAAGAATTTGTTTTCTCAGATCGTTGAGATCAGTGAATGTAGCCTGTGATGTGATGGAGTAAACTAGCAGAAACCCCTGACCATTTTTCATGTAAAGATCCCTCATTGCTGTGAATTGCTCCTATAAGTTTACGATAAATATCACTTTAAAAAATGACTTGCAGTTCCAGCTGTATCGAGAATCTCTAGCATGCATTGTTGGGAATCAATTTCAACCTGCTTCCGATAGCTGTCTTCGATAGTTGGATCATACTTTTCAGCGAAAATCCCTTGCACAAATTGAACAGTGAGGGCACTCTTCCCAACTCCACCACTGCCAAGCACAACCAGCTTGTATTCCCGCATACTTTGCGGACAATACAGAAATAGCGCCACAGACGAGAAACTTCAAACAACAGCATCAGAAATGATTAGTATCAACAACTTTTCGATTCCACTATGCAATTAATATCTGTTATTTGTACCGAAAATATGCCTTTCTGTTGTCAGAATAGCCTTAATGATTTAGTTGTATCGTTTTTTTGAAGTACCGATATTACCAAGTAATTGGTTGAATATTTTTGGCTAATATTCATCAGAAAAGCTAAAAAACACCGTTTATTTAATGCACTTCCGTCTAAACTGAGACTTATTTATGATATACAGCTTCTTATATACTTACGTAAGTTTATCCATATTTGGATATGATGCTAAAAGTGTGAGTGGGCGACAAATTATTCAGTTCCAATTTAGAAAGGACAAAGAGTAAGTGACCTGTGTTGGTCCACGCAGTGGTGGTCTCTCAGTCGGTCCACCTTCCTCTTGAAAGGGTCCGCAGGTGGAGATGCAATCACGTGTTGAGGTAATGAATAATATTTGTTGGCGATTCAAAGGGAAGGTCGATTGTCAGCTGACAAATCGTTTGCTATTGGCTTGTAAACCTTCTTTGAGTGTTCTCGTAGATTCTCTGTTTTGAAAGACAGAGAAAGTGAGGGCAGATCAGATGCGGATTCATCACTAAATAATTTAACGGCTATGTTCATGTCATTTCTCGTTCTTCTATATGACAGGGGAAATAGATCTAGCATGTCCAGTCGAGAATCATACTAGAGCTCCGATTTTCGAGAATCAGCTTGGTTGAGGTTCTTTGAACCTTCTCCAACAGCTCACCGTCTCTGTTTTATGTAGTGGCTAGCCACTTGTACACAAAACTGGAGTATACTTACTTGCGCCTGCTACCCTTCGTGGAGGAGCACAGGCCGACCACCATAATTTTCCATCTAACTTAGTCCTGGGCAATCCTTCCCACCTATTTCCAGCTGCTACTCATTCTTTTCATGTCTGGCTCAATCTCCCTGCACAATGTGTTCCTTAGTCTTCTTCCTTTCCTTTTCAGGATTACAGGTTACGGATTGTCTCATAGTGCAATTTGATGATATCCACAATGTATTTCCTATTCACATCCAGCGTCACTTTCTAATTTCCTCGTCAGATGGAAGCTGGTTTGTTCTCTCACACAGTAGGCTGTTGCTGATGGTATCCGACCAACGGACATTGAGTATCTTGTATAGACAATCGTTTACAAATACTTGTACTATTTTAGTGGTGAATAAGAACTTTCGTCTAAATTTGAACGAATAGTTTCACAATATTTGGGCGCCGAGTTAATTTGAGACATTAAAAAGAAGAATATATTTGTAAAATCTCAGCGAATGAATTTTAAGTAAATCCAACGTTTCGCCTGGCAATCTGGTCCAAGCTTTTTCAAGGAAAATATAATCAAACAACAAAATTATCGAATATAAATAGGTACATGGTTCTTCGGTTTACTGTACACTGAATAAGTCATCCAATCGACGTGAAGGATTTCTTTATAGATAGGTATTTGTATTAATGTGTAAGAGACATGTTTATATGAAAAATAATAAAGGTCAAACAAATAAAATAAAAGTTCATTTGAAAATAATCAAGGGGAGAGAAAGAATAAGAAATTGTCATGTTATCCTAGGCCATAAAATGACTTAAGGATTATAAGGTAAATTCAAGGTTATGACAAATTGTTTTGTATGTGTTATGGAACCAAAACGTGTTAAGATAACAGAATGTGTTTATACGCAAGTGATGTGAGAAAAAATTTTCATTCAACTTAATATTGACTACGGTCTGTGTATATTAAGAAAACAAATCATTTTTATGTATGAAATGAATCAAAATGCTACAGCCTGCATTAAATGAAGATAAGTAAACAAAATAAATAAACGAGGAATGTATATGTAATTGAAGTGTGTTATTTAAAAAAAAATGTTCCAGTCAATTGTTTAACATATTCAGATAAGATAACGGATTTGAATCATTGAACGTATTATCTATTAATTAGTTACTATGGCATAAATATATCAAATGGCAAAAAGGAGATCAGGTTTACTTATTAATTATTAGTTGCCATGGTGCAGCTAGTTGTATTCCATCTCTCCTATTAATATTGTTTAAATTAGCCCATATATGTAAGGCTTCAGCTGTTAGGCGTTCTTTGTAAGAATTAAATCCTTTAAATCCTCAATTGATGTAAAAAAGCTTGAGAACAGATCAGCGATAGCATTACATTCAATTGAATCGGGTCATTCAGTTGATTTCAATGGCACGAGAATCATTCAAAAAGGATTTGTTTAACATTCAATGACCCAACTGCCGAATGATTTGGTTAGGGCTCAGTGGAATTTCACTGGCCCTACACCAGGTTCCAGCCCCATTTAGTAGAACTGTCTTGACGTTCGTAATGAAGATTCTGACTTCGATATTGGTCGGCAGTTGTTTTTAGTTTCACATGTTCTTCAACTGTGGGAATGTTGTCCTTGTTTTGCCAGTAATTACCTTTACTTCTACATCAGATCCCCCTTGTTCATCGATGATTGTGCTAAACAGGTACGTGGAGTTTTTCACCCCTTTCAGAGTTTTAACTTCAAGTATGATTGGGTTCGTGTTATCCGTGACCTACTGATGCACAGGCTCTTGCTACACCAGTTATCTTCATTTACATGTGTATGAAAACCGGATTTAAGGACGAAGGAATACTGTAGAGAAAGTCAAAAGCGTTTTCTCATCGATATTATTATCATTATTATTCACAAACATCTTATGGGTACATAAGTGTTGTGAAGAAACCATTTCGGGTTTCTTCAAAAAATGCAATAATACACAATTTTCAATAGTGTCAGCATTATACTTGCCATTTAAAAAAAATTTAGAGCAATAATAGTAGAATATTAATAATAATAAATCGGGTCTGTGCAATTGAGAAGAATATTGAATTGAGTTTAAAGAAGGAAATGGAGAAAATAAGGGAATCGAAATAAAGGAGACGTGAAATACGCAAACAGTCTAATAGGCGTGTTTATGAACACAGAACAAGAATAAACGACTATGTGTGTATCGTTAAATTAGTAACAAAAAACAATTAAGAAAAAATAACTTATAGTTGCAGTAAGATATGACGCTAGAATAATTGTTTGTGCAGTTATAGTTTAGAGTGATGCTATGAAAGTTACAATTAAATGAAAAGGACAATAAAATATCATGATTATGGTTAGAGGCTCCACGTATTAAACATACAGCTTTAAAGCCGTTAGAGGCTATTGCACGGCAGTGCACATTAGTTTGAAGTCTCGGCTCGCGATGACTCCTAGATCATTTTATGTTGGTAGTCAGCTGACAAATCATTTGCTCTTGGTTTGCGAACATTTATGATTGTCCTCTTAAATTCCCTGTTCCAGAAGACGAGAAAAGTGAGAGTATATAATTTTGTCCAGTAGACCGAAGACATCGAATTCTTCAATGGTCACAGTGTCCACAGTGTATGTAGAGAGTTGTATGAACTGGAGGGGAGGACACCTCTACAATATATACATTACTTAAGTAATTTGAGAATATCCGAGCTTCACCATAATCATCCTGTACCAGTGATGAAGTACTAATCTCTCCACATGATGCTGGAATACATTCTCTCCTCTGAGTTCTTGGATGTATGTACGAGTTTAAGCATTTAGGATATTCTATGGACTCCTTAACAAGCTTTACTTCGTACAAACATCTGGACTTGTGAAGAGTCGAGACACAAATATTTCGAGCTCCTCGACAGTGGGAACTTGTCCTGTCAATATCCAGTAACCCGAATCTCTCCCACATTAGTCTCCTCATACGGGGAAGGTTGCGAAACTCCTCACAGAACCATGTGTGGGGTTCCTCGGATTCCCTGGTGAAGTCCAAGTAATATGTGGTGTAGTAACTTTCACGTATAGATTTCAAAATACCTCCTGAGCTGATTCAATTTAGGATTCTGACTTTATTGTTCGATCAACTGAGGATTCTGAGCGTATGATTTCGTGTTTATTCGCCTTCTAGAAGTTTGTTCTTCCTTTGACCGACACATGGATTTTGACAACCACAAAGAAATGGAAGACTGGAACTGCATTGTCATTGTTACCTAAGAGTGGCATATAATGGGGGTTTGTGGCATCACTATTATGATGGGTCGATATGTGGCCCATTAGAGAGGACGATTTGGCGACTGGATCATACATCATTGCTTTGTTCACATATTGCACTAGGGCACATATGATAACCACATCAACCAGGATTTTCTGACAACTCAGTCCTCAGAGTTTTCCAGTCTGTCGTAGGCACGTTAAGGTCCTCTTAGACTCAACACCAACCACTGGATGACCAGGTGTTGAGACTGTCTAACAAGACCTCATTCACCTCACAGTTTAGATTGCAGTAGACCAAACCGATCAGCAGCTCTTGACCTTCGCAACCTCTCGGTTCGCACTTCTCACTTTCATGAGATACATTATCGATAACGGTAAATGAGACAGTATAATGGATAGAGCTAATACTCCTCCTTTACCCCTCTGGTGGTGTCGTCTATGACTAATATGAGACTTTGAAAATCAGGTTTGCAACAGTCTACGGACTGAGCCAGTCGAGTTTTCGTGATGGCTTGTTAGAGCTTATCTGTGCACCTAACTCCGATCGCTTGCTGAGCAAGCTTTGAGCATTTGTGTAATATATCTGGAGACCATTTAGATGGATTTGTGCTGCACCTGATGTAGCCTCCGTCTCGTCCTCTGTCGAAGTCTCATCACCTGAAAATACACAATTCTGAGGTCATTCTCGCTAGTATCTAACCTTGGATTTAGTTCCCTTATAGCCTCTCGACGTTTTATGCTGTCCTGAAGCGACAAGCTATTATGGACAAAAAACTACTGACCCCTTTACCTTATGTCCATTCTGTAGTGTTAAATTCATTTCATTAGGAGTTTTAAGCACCATATTTAGCAGCCTGGTTTAATTCCGCTTCAAGTCCGTTTTGCTACTCAATCTACAAACGTTCATCAAGGTGACCTGAGAGATATTTT